GATTCTCTCCAGTATTAAACCAGCATTTCTGGTTTACCTATCTCCCCTGCTTCATCGACTGCTGGGGCACCTGCCACCAAATATCCCCCCTCTGTGCACCCTTGCTCTGAAGCTAACCAACCCCCAGGTTGGTTGAGTACATGATGTTGACTTGAGTACATGATGGCGCAAAGTCTTTGGTCTGGTGTTGCTGACACGTCACTTGCACAAAATCAGTTCAGTATGTGGTCGATGGGGGTGAACAGGAGGAAGACAAAAGAGAAAGCGGAGAAGGGAGGATACATAGGAGAGCAGGGAGAATCAACGAGAGGAAATTCTCCACACCAAAGCAGAGGCCACTGAAAACTGCACTTGGTGGGGGGGTTAGAGCAAAGGGTGTCGACCTGAAGTCAGGAAACCCAGTTGGACAGATGACAGCTGGGGAGTAAGGGCAGGGGTGAGACCAGGAGGTGCAAGAGCTAAGGAAGCAGAAATCTCAGCTTAGCAAACATCTCAAGAAGGCAAAAGCCTGAGGGGCACTGTAGCCAATTGAGGTATGTGATGGAACCAGACCAGAGGCCAAATTCCAGCTACGAATCTGGACAATCTCCTTGGTGGTATCTCCAGAGGGGCGAGGATTCCTGTGGGGGGATGGAAATCAGGGATGAAAACCATTCCACTGCCACATCTTTGGACCCTGTGGCAATGACCCAGGGACCTCCAGCCTCCACTGGGCCAGCCTGGACAGAGCACAGGCTCACTATGCCTGGTGGGCTCACTATTCCTGCCGCAGAGTGGCTCTGTCTTCACGGTGGGATTTGGGGGTGGGGGGTCAGAAGCTCTGGAAAAACATGCCACTGCATCTTGGCTCTTTGTAAGTCCTAGACTGGATGGCATGACCTCTCCCAGCCTCACTTTTAGCACTGACCACCCAACAAAACCAATTCCTCCCTGATCAGCCAGGTAGAACACCCCCAGGTTACTCAGATACATGGCCAGCTGAGAAGGGGGCAACAGTTATACAGCAGGTTTCTGGAGATTGGTGGCATTCTGGTGAGATGCCAACAGGGCATAGCTTTGAGCAAATGGAGCTAGTCCAAGACAGAGGAATCCTGGAGTTCCCCCATGGGCCCCAGGTACTTGACCAAGTTACCCTGCAGGTTCTCAGTCTTACCAGGCTAGGGGTGCTGTGTAACTGAGGTCACCACCACATTGCAAGGCTGATGGTGTTTGCTCATAGACTTGATCCCTTCCCTTCTCACGGTGTCTATCCTTTAACTTGGAACCTGTCCCTAAGACCCAGGAGTCAAGAACTGCACACTGTCCCCAGCTGCTTGCAATCTACTGTCCTGGCTACTTCTCCCAAGTGATGGGCTCTAAACCAGCTTTTCTTTCTACCTCTTTCAAAGCCTTTTCTTTCTCAGCTCTCCCAGGAAGGCCTCTGATGTGTCCTCAAGTTATAGCCCATCTTGCGATGGAAATCTCTGCCAAATGAATAGAAGGATGACCTCTGTGGGGAACCCATGCCTTCCCCTTGTTTCTCCAATGACCTCTTGTGGGTGGCCACCTCTTTTGCCTGTGGTGAGGCTGCCTCTGCCTGCTGGTATCTGAGCTACGCAGGCGCCCACATTTCTAAGCGGACTCTGAGTTGGTTAGGTGGGGTGATAGCTTATGAAAACCTCATGGGAATTTTCCCATTAGTCTTGCGAAGTTTTCTTCCCGAGATACAGTATATTTATCACTGTCATGGGCTTTAATCCAATTTAAAATTAGTTTCTGCGCTACATGAGTCCACAGACATCTCAATCTGATGCCATGAACATTTTTCAGAAAGAGCTTTCAATTTAGGGACAGTGGAAAGATTTGGGACACTTTTCCAACGTGCTAACTAGATGCAGACTATTCTTTTCTTTTCTGGTTTTGTATTTCTCCTGAGAGAAATCTCTAGTCCCAAGGGTGTCAATGTGATCAGACATTTAAATAGCCTGGATAAGTCTTTAAAAACCTGTCACTGAGAACTCTCGGAGAAACATTACTCAGCTCCAAGTGTGACCAGAAACACCTCTTACACAATATCAGTTTTCTGCTTTATCCTTCCCTTTTCCAGATGTTCTAATTCTCTCCTCCCAGTGATTTCAAATCAGCCTAATAAACACCCTCTCCCCTGACCCCCACAGTGTCAAGCTAACTTTGAAGGTCTGGAGATGCAGGGAACATAGGAACACGCACAGAAGATGATTTCCAAGGCAACGATGAAGTCAGTCTTTAGGAAATCTGACTAAGACAGTTTTGAAATTGGTGGAAGCTCTTGGAGGGCTTCTGTCCTTTCTCTTTTCCAGCCTCTCAAGGGGTGCTGTGGCCCCTGAAAACCTACTTGAGCCCCCCAGCAAAGCAAGTGAACAGCATCCCTTCCTCTAGTCCCAGGTAGGGGCTCTCAAGAGACTCAAGGAGAGCAGTGGTCCCTTGTGCGCCAGGTGTCCGGGCAGAGGCAGAGTCCCACCTGACCTCCTGCTGGAACTGTCTCCCTGACCCGGGGGGACAGAGATGCACTTCCACTGCTGGTTCCCAGGGCCCCTCAGTCCCTTGCCCATGGGAGCACCTTCAGTCCTTAACAGGGACAGCTTTTCGGGGCTCCCTGCCTGTCCGAGCCAAGGCGAAGCCTGCTCGTCAATGAGTAGATCAGATGCCGGCCTCCCTCCTGGTTTGTCCTTCCCTCTTTTCCCCTTTCCTCTGGTCTAAGCTCTTCTCTACCCCTCAGGCACCCACCTGCTCACCTCACACCTGTTCTGCGCAGCCTTTCCTCATCCTTCCTGCACTCTGTGGGAAAGCCAGGTACCGCTCAATGCGAGGTGCAGCTCAGAAGGTCTGCATTTTCATTGGCTCAAAGTCTCAAGCTAAAGGTGGGACATCCCAGTGAGGACTCCCAGGTCCTGCTAGGGCTTGGGGATGAGCCTGTGGCACTCAGTGTTCTTTAACCTATGATACCCCAGGGAGAGATTATTCTCTCCATGAACCCAGACTTTAAAACTTCCTTTGTGCCTTTTATAATGAAAGTTCTCCCCCAGTTCCTTCCTTCCACATGGCCTCTCAACACAGACCTTCAGCTTCCTCTGCGCACCCGAGACTCCCTCTCCTCTCACCCCACTTGCTGATGCCCCCCCCAGGGGGGGCTTTACTGATTCTCTCCACCCTGCCCCAAGCAGGAGGGGGCTGCTCCTCCAGTCCCGCCCATCCACCAGAGGCCTGATGCTCCACAAGCCTCGTTTCAAATGGTTTTGTTAAGACCCAGAATCTCAGTTTAAGTCTAAGTCATTTTGTCATCCTGCACCGGTATCCAGTCAGCCCCCATCTCATCCTGGGTTTCTGTTGGTCAGACCTGGATTCTTTCCTTAGCACTACTTCTTATCGTCCTTTGGGTCGATTAAATTAGATGAAATCTAGATTAAAATTTATGTTTTTATCTGAGCCTTGGTATCTCTTCCTCCTCAGTAGGCTTCCGGTATCCCACTGCCTCTGCTTTGTCAGGAACACAGTTAATCTTGTCCTGAAAGGCCACTGGCAGAGGTCCTCGGCCCCCAGCCATCAGGCAGGCTGACATGTGCAAGGTGCCCTGTGGGCAGCAGGGGACAGTCAGCCCAGGGAGCTTGGGCCCCAAGCCCTCCTTGCTTGGCACAGTGGGCCAGGAGCTGTAACGGAGATGGGCCAGAATGGAGGTGATATCGACAAGGAAAGAAGTGAGCCTAACCCTGGCCTGTCCCAAGCTGTGTGCTATCCAACAAAAAACATGTCAAACCAGGAGGAAGCAAATGAGGAATGGTGAAGGGACTGGGCATCCAGGGGTGGTCGACCCTACGTGCTCAAGCCTGCCTGAGGCCTGGACCACACCCATCCATGGAGACTACCCCTGTCCTCCCACCATGGAGCATTTCTAAGAATCACAGCATGATCAACCATGGTTTCCCAGAAAACTTCCTCAAATAGAATGGAACTCCACTCTGATGGTTCACACCATGTATTCTGCACTTGGAGGTGGGGAGAGAGGACTCAGTGGACAGCATTTGGGGTGACCAAGGGCACCTGCATGGTCTCAGGTCTTCCCTGCCTAACGCCTCACCCCACAGCCCTGGCTCCTGCCTAATACACTCTTAAATTCCACACCGCACCCCTCCAACTCCCAGGAAGCCTGCCAGCCGGCTACCTCAATTTTCATTCAGAATGACTGATTGCCTCATCGGGCTGCAAAGCAACAGAATTAAGATCCACACATTCTCTCTAATTTTAAGGGGCGCACCATGACCCTCTCCCCATTCCAGCAGGGGGCCACTGTCAGGACATGGTGCTTGTCCTCTGAGTCAAGCCCTATTTCTCTCTCCAACCTCTGAGACGCAAACACTCTTTGTTACACTCCCACCCCTGACTGGCATCGCCACAGGCCAAGCATCTGGAAGGCAGAGGTGGGAGTGGGGCAGAGAAGGGAGAGGGCATCTTGAAAGGAGCCATGGGAATGTGCTCCTACAGGGTGGGCCCTGGGGAGGTTCCCACAAGGACGGCGCCTCCAGTCACTGAGTCCAGTTACACTCTGTGCTGGTTCCGCAGAATAACCAGAAATATTATTTAGTTAATACTTCCTTTTAAATGGACCCATCAGAAAACAAACCCAGTTATTTATAAAGAAACCTTGAGTCTCGACCAAACATGGAAAGCTAGCATTGTTCATCAGATTCGTTTAAAGTCAATCAATCAATCTCCATTAAGGTAAAAGGTGTTATTTGTGGCCGTGTAAATCTGCCTCTCGAGGACTGTTGTGGGTTGAGTCTTTTTGACAATCAACACTTAGGGCCTGAGAGGCTGTCTCTTAGGGAGAGGCTCGGTCACCTCTGGCCTTGGACATGTTGGCTGCGAAACGTGCCCCCGACCACCGACCACTCCTCCCGGGCACACACTGCCTGCCGTGTAGGTCCCCAGGTTGCAGGTCCCCAGGTTCGACTCCCCAGTGGGGAAAGTGTGCAGGCCCCACTTACAATTCGTGGTTTGAAGGGGGGCTTGATCTTCTTCTGCTCCAGGAGCACCCAGTCGATCTCTTTGAAGAACGGGTGCTGCTTGATGGCGTCCTCCCCGTTCTGCGCCGCCACACAGCCCAGGCGCTTGTGGGGGTTCTTCGTCATAAACTGCGGGGAGGAGGACACGAGTCAGCGTCAGTGAACAGGCTGGGCTGGCACAGGCTGGGAGGGAAGAATGGGAGTCCGCCAAGGCCACGTCCTCAGTATCCCAGTCCAAGTCTGTTCTTGGCTCTTTCAGGGGACCCAACCCCTTGGGCTTTCTTGAACTCTTATGTAGAATTTACTACGTGCCAAGCACCAGCCAACGATAGTACATATATATTCGCTCACTTTATCCTCACACAAGCCCATCAGGCACTACTATTGTCTCTATTTTATACGTGAGGAGCTTGAACCACAGAGAGATTAATTTATTCGCCAAGGTCACTCACACAACTAGCAAGGTACTGAACGGGGAATAGGAACTTAGCCTCTTACGAACTCTCTGACTCCCCTTAGATTCTCAAGTCTTCTCATCAGGAAGACTGAGGTCTCAAAAAGCCTCCTACGCTGAGGTCAACGGTTCTTTTTGAGGAAGGAAAGAAGACCAAGTATTGATATGAAGGTAAATGATCAACTATACCTCCTGAGACAAGGTGTTAATCTCCCATGGTGAAAGCCGAATGTGTATCTAAATGCAGGAACTTGAATGTTTATCTAAACACAGGAACAAACTCTAAGCCAAAGGAATCCATCTATAATGGTAGAATTTCAGGCTTCCTTGGCAAGGGAGATTTTCTGGGGCAGGGAGAACCTCCTGCTTGAAACCAAAGCACACAGGCATGGGTTAAATGCCACGGGAGAGAAGGGCTCCAGATAAGAGAGTGAAGGTGAGGGGTAGTCGCGAGTTAGGAGTGGAATCGATGCGTCTTGTCTTTCTCATCTGCAAGCTGACCCCTGCTTAAACACTTTGGACGACCCCCATGATAAAGTCCATACCTCCGTGGTATGGCTCACAACTTCGCAGCCTGAACCTGTCTACCCTGCTGGCCTTTCACCTCCTTTATTCCCTCAGACTGAATGCCCTTTGCCAGTCCCAAGGCTGCCTCCTTTGTGAAGACCCCCCAGACTCCCTCCTCTGTTGATACCTTGGACCCCATGTTTCTTGGGTTTTTTTTTGTTTGTTTGTTTTTGAGTTGGCGTCTCACTCTGTCGCCCAGACTGGAGTGCAGCGGCCGCTCCCAGCCACCGCAGCCTCGACCTGCTGGGCTCCGGCGATCCTTCCACCTCAGCCTTCCAAGTAGCCGGGATTACAGGCATGCACTACCACGCCCGGCTGATTTTTTGATTTATTGTAGAGATGAGGTCTCGTTGCCCAGGTGGGTCTCAAACCCGCGGGCTCAGGCAATCCACTTACCTCAGCCTCCCAAAGGCACGGGATTACAGGCTGAGCCACCGAGCCCGGCTCTTGTTGTTGTTGTTGTTGTTGTTTTGAGCTGGAATCTCACTCTGTCACCCAGACTGGAGTGCAGTGGCTGTTCCTGTTCCCGGCCACCTCAGCCTCAACCTGCTGGGCTCCCGCGATCCTCCCACCTCAGCCTTCCGAGTAGCCGGAATTACAGGCGCGCGCTACCACGCCCGGCTGATTTTTTGATTTATTGTAGAGATGAGGTCTCGTTGCCCAGGTGGGTCTCAAACCCGCGGGCTCAGGCAATCCACTTACCTCAGCCTCCCAAAGGCACGGGATTACAGGCTGAGCCACCGAGCCCGGCTCTTGTTGTTGTTGTTGTTGTTGTTTTGAGCTGGAATCTCACTCTGTCACCCAGACTGGAGTGCAGTGGCTGTTCCTGTTCCCGGCCACCTCAGCCTCAACCTGCTGGGCTCCCGCGATCCTCCCACCTCAGCCTTCCGAGTAGCCGGAATTACAGGCGCGCGCTACCACGCCCGGCTGATTTTTTGATTTATTGTAGAGATGAGGTCTCGTTGCCCAGGTGGGTCTCAAACCCGCGGGCTCAGGCAATCCACTTACCTCAGCCTCCCAAAGGCACGGGATTACAGGCTGAGCCACCGAGCCCGGCTCTTGTTGTTGTTGTTGTTGTTGTTTTGAGCTGGAATCTCACTCTGTCACCCAGACTGGAGTGCAGTGGCTGTTCCTGTTCCCGGCCACCTCAGCCTCAACCTGCTGGGCTCCCGCGATCCTCCCACCTCAGCCTTCCGAGTAGCCGGAATTACAGGCGCGCGCTACCACGCCCGGCTGATTTTTTGATTTATTGTAGAGATGAGGTCTCGTTGCCCAGGTGGGTCTCAAACCCGCGGGCTCAGGCAATCCACTTACCTCAGCCTCCCAAAGGCACGGGATTACAGGCTGAGCCACCGAGCCCGGCTCTTGTTGTTGTTGTTGTTGTTGTTTTGAGCTGGAATCTCACTCTGTCACCCAGACTGGAGTGCAGTGGCTGTTCCTGTTCCCGGCCACCTCAGCCTCAACCTGCTGGGCTCCCGCGATCCTCCCACCTCAGCCTTCCGAGTAGCCGGAATTACAGGCGCGCGCTACCACGCCCGGCTGATTTTTTGATTTATTGTAGAGATGAGGTCTCGTTGCCCAGGTGGGTCTCAAACCCGCGGGCTCAGGCAATCCACTTACCTCAGCCTCCCAAAGGCACGGGATTACAGGCTGAGCCACCGAGCCCGGCTCTTGTTTGTTTTCTTAGACAGGTTCTCATGCTGTGGCCCAGCTCAAGTGCAGTGGCGCGATCATAGCTCACTGTAGCCTTGAACTCCTGGGCTCAAGGGATCTTCACACCTCAGTCTCCTGAGTAGCTGGAACTACAGGTGTGTGCCACTGCACTTGGCTAATTTTTAAATTTTTTGTAGAGATGAGTCTCACTATGTTGCCCAGGTTGTGCTTGAACTCTTGGTCTTTAGTGATCCTCCTGCCTTGGCTTCCCAAAGTGCTGGGATTATAGGTGTGAGCCACTGTGCCTGGCCTCCTGTTTACTTAAATAAAAATTTGTCTACACCTCTCTTTCTCTTGGTGAACTCTATAACTTAGCAATCAAGCCTATCTGACCAGAACCTGGCTTAGTGTCTGGCTCCTAGTATACACTTAGTAGACTGTAATGATTGAATAGAGGGCTAAAAGTTGGGCCTCAAGGCACAGTGCTGAGGGAGGGAAGCAGCTGGATGGCCATTTACTGTTGCATAGGTTGTGCACTGCATAATTCTACAAAGCAAATGGCCTTCTCTAGACTTCACCACTTTCACATAGGCAGCAGTCCTCAGAGATAGCTCAGTGGCCAGAGCCATGAAAAGCCTGGCCTGGCCCTAGAGTCAAGTGACAATGCAAGGAAATGAAGTGTTTCAAGGCCAAGGGAGTAGGACACTCCTCCTCACAACTTCAGTTCTTCCTGCTCTCCCTCTTTTGGGAGGGGAAGTATCAGGGCCAGGGATCGACACAGAGGTCTGAACACCCTAGGAAGCTGCCCCTGAGCCAGCCATTCTCATGGAGAGCTCACCTTCACTCACAGTGAGCACAGGGGTGGCCTCTAACCTCTGAATTTCTACAGGCCAACATTTTCAACCTTGGTACTAGTAGCATTTGGGACCAGATACTTCTTTGTTGTGGGGGACTGTCCTAGGCTTTGTAGGCTGTTTTGTAGCTCCTGTGGCCTCCACCCACTACATGTCAGTGGCACTCCCCCACCCCAAGCTGTGACAACCCCAATTCTCTCCAGACACTGGTGAATGTCTGGGGGAAGAGGCCAAAACGGCCCCTCGTTGAGAGCCACTGCTCTGGTCTCCCAACATGAAAGGGTTCAGCTGGCGTGCTGGTGGGGGACTCACAGGGAGGTGTGCTGAGCTGGGGTCAGGGCCTGGGATGGTGGCCAGTTCTGCTGGGCACAGTATTCTGGCTGTCTTGGGTGTTGGAGGTTTCCCCTCAGTTACTCAGCTGACTTGGGACAAGATGGGCTCTGGGAATAGATGGAGGCGAAAGCTCCTATCTCTACCCCAAGTCAGTCACTCTAGAGGGCCCTCTGTGGTGGTCTGGAGTGGTAGCACAAAGTGCAAGCGAGATAGAACCAGTGACTATGACATCTCCTTGAGTGGAAAAGCACCGTACATGGTTGAGAGGAAAACGAAATCTACGTACAGCATCCTAACATTTATATAAAAGAGATAATGAAATAAAAATTTACCAGCCAGGCGGGGTTCACACATGTAATTCAAGCACTCTGGGAGGCCAAGGCGGAGGATTGCTTGAGTCCAGAGTTTGAGACCAGCCTGGGCAACATAATGGTGGCATGTGCCTGTAGTCCCAGCTACTTGGAAGGCTGAGGTGGGAGGATCACCTGAGCCCAAGATATCAGGGCTGCAGTGAGTCTTGATCATGTCACTGCACTCCAGCCTGGGTGACAGAGTAAGACCCTAACTCAAAAAACAAAGGAATTTATCTTTGTATCTGCTGGTATATACCTAAAGAAATTCTGACAGGATATATAAAAGTCTAAAAACAGAGGTAGAGGGGAATAAGGATGAGATTGAGACCTTTCACTGAATCCTATTTTATGCTTTGTGCTTTTTAAAAAAAAAAAAAAAAACATGTGATCAAGCAAGCAAGCAAATGATCACATACATAGCTACAATATAAACTAGAAAAAAATCTAATTGGAAAAGTGTGATAGCCACCCTCCCACTGGGTGACACGTCCTTCCCGAGAAAGATTGCTTTTCTGTAGGGAGGTGAAAATGAACGCGGGTGGCTCAGAGAAGTCAGATCAGAGAGCCTCTGAGTGCCAGGCTCCACAGCGCCCCATATTCGTCTATTTAAATCCCTTCTCTCCTTCCTTTGGACACTCTTTCATCTCCCTTCTGCACCAAGTGCCATGGTGAGTGACGAGAGACACGGTCCCTCACGCCAGAGAACGAACTAATTGCGGCTGTCATGAATGACAGGACACACGCAGGAGGCTCTGAGAGTGTGATGGGGTGATGCCCCTGTTGGGGTCCCCTGGGAAAGCAGCACTTAGACTGGAACCCAAGGAGGAGCAAGGAGTACCCAGGCAAAAGGGGAGGGTGGAGAGTAGCCAGGGAGAAACAACACCGAAGATGAGTATTTTGGCTCCAGGATGTGGACCGGTGTGGCCAGAGCCCAGACAAGGGGCAAGGGCAAGACAGCAGCTCCACGCAGGGCCGTGGGAGCTACATGGAAGACATGGGTCTTTATCCAACTGCCATGTGCAGCCTGTGATGAGTTTTAAGTGGGGCGTGAGGCATGGGATGGTAGGACTTGCATCCTTGTGAGAGAATTCGGATTGGAGAACAGAGATGGAGGTAAGAGGTCCTGCAGTGCACCAAGGGGGAGGTGGCTTGGCCTAGGGCGGCATGGGAGGGAAGGGGGATGCAGAAAGATAACTAAAATGGAGCATTTTTTGAGGGAGAATGGACTCGATGATTGGCCCACTGTGGTGAGGAGAAGGTGGTGCCCCCATTTCCAGCCTGTGCAGCAGGGAGGGTAGGGTGGCATATACTGAGCCAGGGAGCTTGGGAGTGAGCAGATTTATGGGGACCATTGAGAGCTCAGTTTGGGGGCATATTGAAAATGAGGGGCCACTGGACAGCCGAGCGGAGGTACTGAGGAGGGCCCTGAAACACAGACTTGGGGGCTGGAAGACGGGTCTGCTGGGGACACCCCTCCCTCAGGGCAGGGCAAGAAGGGGTAGAGCCCTGTGCTGGGGGACAGCCACGGGATAAGAGGCTAGCCGGGGGCTGAGTCCTGAGGGATGAGGGCGGCAGTGATCAGAAGGTATTCATGAAGAATTCAGAACACGCCAGCGCGTGACAACAGCAAGGAACTGGGGAGGGCAAGGATTATAGACTGCAACCAAGGGGGCTCATGCAGGAGTCTTCTTTAGGCTCCCACAACTAGCCGGGCGTGGTGGTGTGTGTCTGTAGTTCCAGCTACTTGGAAGGTTGAGGCAGAAGGATTGCCTGAGCCCAGCA